CTAAGAATGGGCAATTGCAATAGTATGCTTGCCTTAGCAAACATCACTAATAAATAGACTGGAGATGCTTGATTGAACAGTCATCAGGGGCATCTCCTGTCCCTGGCGGGAGTGATAATTTATGATGAGCACACTAATGAATCCTAATAGTGTGCAGTGGCCCCTAGCAGACAGTCTCTATTAGGGGCCGGTCCATCACTGATCTGAATGAGAACAGGAAGTTGTTTGCTTGTTTTGTATAATTGAAATTCATCTATTCACACCACTGTTTGCTCATCTGGGGGACGACCTCATCTTTATTGTGTCTTGAGATTAACAAAAAGAGAGTAAACAGGGCACAGGAGAACAGGACTTTCTCTTGCCCTTTCTTTCTTTGTTTCTGTCTTTGGTTTTCCATTTTCCACTCACGCTCATGTTGTTGTTTTTTTTATCCTCTCAAATGCCCTTGAGCTACACTTGGCTTACTGCTGGTTAATTAAATGAAGTTAATTTAGAGGAAAACTATTGATTCTCAGTTGATAAAACTGTCCAATGTAGTAAAATACCATTTAACGTTTGGGGTCAGTAAGATTTTTTTGAATGTTTTTTTTGAAAGAAGTCTCTCATGTTTACCAAGACTGCATTTATTTGATCAAAAATACAGTTAAAATATTACATTTCATTTCATAATTACAACATTTTATTACAATTGAAAAAAATATAATTTATTCTTGTGTCTTTCCGTGTCACATGATCGGTCAGAAATCGGTCTAATATGCTGACTTGGTGTTCGAGAAACATTTCTTATTATTTTTAATATTGAAAACAGCTGTACTGCTTAATATTTTTGTTAAAACCGGGATCCATTTTATACAAAAAGTTCAAAAGAACAGCATTTATTTGAAATAGAAACCTTTTGTAACATTATAAATATCCCGACTGTCACTTTTGATGAATTTAATGTGACAGTATTACTTATAAATGTCAAATAACCAGTTATCGGCTCTATTTCTTTATCTCCTGTGAGGACATCATCACAGAGTAAGATGTTGTTAGACAGTCATTCTGCTGTAATTACTCACCTGTCAGCCGCAGGTGAAACTGCTGCATGGGTCATGACGAATAACAACAAGGCGATTATTCCAAGACAGTATTGCAGGCTAAACAATACGTGTGGTTGTTTACAACACCAGCAGGCCATCATGCACATCTTTCAGGTGTCTTTTGTTGTTTTTAATTTACGTTTTTATACGTTATTTCTTTTTTTTAATGTACTGTATGTGGGTTTGACAGTGAATGTAGTGCCACATTGCATAACGTAACGTTTTTATTTATTTATGTGGGTTTACAGGCCACCCACTAACCTAAATGATGGAATCAACCTCAACACAATATATCAGACTCATTCCTTCTATAATACTTTAGACCTAGCTCTTTGGTCAAATCATGCCATAACACATAGTCTTTTATTAGTACTTCTCTACCTTTAGCAGATAATCAGTCCAAGTGTTATTCATTTTATTTGTTAATATTTGCTGATTGACTTTCTTTGAATAAAACTCTGGTGATAGTAATTGGCTTAATTTTAGGTCCACTCCATTTAATGATATATACATAACCTCTCCAAACAAACATTTGCATTTGCTTTCTCCCTCTCTCTGTTTTTCTTCATTTTCCTGTTGTCACTCCTCATCTTAGAAATGTGTCTGATCTGCACCTCAGTGAATCCACTCCATCTAGTTGGACCAGGTAAGCAAGGTGACAATACGTAAAAAAACACAATGGGTAAATATGCTTCTAACTCCTTAGAGTTTCCTTAAGTGTGACGACAATCAGGCATAAATTGCTGGTGAGGTGAACTGAATGGATGTAACAGTGTTTACCGGTAATGTTGTGTTGTGAGAAATTATGGATTTGAACTTGAATATGTCACATGGTTAGGAAGACAAAGCAGCTGTGTTGATTTATCTTCAGGTCAGACTAGGGGAGAATTCATCTGCCATATGCTACATTCTGTTTTAGCATTAATGAGGAAAACTCCACAGCCAGGAAAAAGCTGTAATGTGTGTTGTCCTCTGAAACAGCCAATAGCTCCCCTGAATAATTTATGTAGTTACTGTATAAAGCCATTCAATTTTATGCAGGTACTGTGTGCTTTAATACTAAGCACTGTTTACAAACCTGCAGACCTTGAAGCATACAGTGGTGTAAATAGCTTTTCTGCCACATTACATCCCTAACAATTGCTATATTAACATAAAACATAAATATTGAAGGTTTATAAAGGCTAGTAGATAAAAAGTTTGTTTTAAAATTTGTTCATGTTGTGCTATTGGAATTTGTCAAAAGAAACAGGCTGGGTCGCAAGAAGAAAAAAAACCGGTATTCCAGTTCCAGCTGCTTAGGTTTTATTGGAAATCAAAATGATTTCTAGATTTGATCCATTCAAAAAACTACGAAAGCGATCTCAGTTCTGCACATAAAAACGTAGCAGGATATTTGTGTCTATGGTTAGCTGCTGCAATGCAGTCTTTTGTGATCGGCCATAATACCCCCAGACTGCAGCCAATGGAAATGCTTCTCTGTTGCTGCACGTCCTGCTCCTCACAGCACAGATCGTGAAAGCAGAATGCAGTTTTTGCTCAGTGCTGAGTTATTCAAGCTCATATCCTCTCACAGTGTTTCCCATACTTTGATTTATTTGTGGCACCCGCCACAATATCAAAACTGACTGCCACAAATAGATTTTCCAAAAGGCTTTGACTTCATTGAATAAACATGAGCACTGCATGTGTCAAAGTTGAAACCCAGTGCGGGTGTTTTTACATCACTGTATTTCTGAAGGAATCCGACAGTGTCTTCAGAAAATTTTGGATGTCATTTTCATTTAATCTTGCATGTAATGTCTGATAAAGCAGCGTTTGCGAACGGAGCGCTGCTTGCTTTGTGTACAGCCATTACCGGGGAAACCTCGATCTCTCCCGCTTTACAAGCGCCTCCTGCTGGCAGAGAATTCATTTACATATATAGCCTATGCCGCCACAAATAGAGTGTGGGAAACACTGTCATTATAACAAAAGTGTAGACAAGATGTAAATAATAGATTCAGTGTGCAGTGTAGACAGTTTCATTAATTATACGTAAATTGATAAAGAGAGTTTGCAAATGTTATATTGAATTTATACAACAGTTTTATACATTTTTGATTTTGATACAAAAGTTCAGTGACTTGCATTTTAGAAACACTTTTGTCTGATTGTGCTCTATTTCGTCAATGTAAATTGTTCCAACTTACAAACAAAGCCACAGCTGAGCCGCTGGCATCTCCAAGCAAACAAAGCGGTGTTTCGTTTATGAATGAATCTGCGTTTTTGAACAAATCTAATGAGTCACTGATTCAATGACCCATTCATAAAGACAAGTCACTTGCTTTGTTCCTAAATGATTCAGCCGTTTGAACGAATCGATTGAATGAATGATTAAATTGCCGCCACCTACTGGCAGTTTCAGTTTCAAAGTATAAATTGAGTTATTTAAATCCTTACATTTTTCTATGTTCAAAACTTTTAAAACAGTGTCGGAGTGGCATAAAGTAATATTGGATTCTCCTCTATGTCCCGCCTTTCTGAAACGCGTAAATTTTTACAAAGCTCATCGTTCTAAAAAAGCGAGGTGTGCCTGTTTCCATTGACACCGCGAAGCATGCAGCTTCTTTTTTTATTTGATTTTTATAATCAAATCTTCCTCCATTTTTGAATTTCTTTACAGAGAGGTCACGCAGTGACGTATCGATCTTCTACTGGTCACACGTCTTCACGTGATGCGAATTCGCAGGTCAGAGTTCACCAAACTTGAACTTTGGAACGCAGCGAAATGCGAAATTTTTCGCATGAGTTTGCGTTTCCGGTATGACGCATTCGCATGCATATGAATGGAAGTCAATGGAACGAAAAGTGCAGTGTGACCGCCCCTTAAGGTATGTGATAGCTGTTGGAGCGCCAATTCACAGTCTTAGCCCATCACAATGTCCTGTTTAAAGCTGCAGTCCGTAACTTTCAATATTTGAGCAAGTACGTAACCAGCCAGTGTTACTGTTGCCTTACTTTAGCCCGATTCACAACGGTTAGCTTATAATAATGTTTTCTAATTTGAGTGATACGGGTAGGTTTTTGCGGGAAATTCGAGCATGGCACTGCATCATTACGTCACGTCTTATGGACTGCCGCTTTAAGAAAGAGTCATTGGAACAAAAGAATCAAGTTTTATAGTGGAGTCGATTCTGATAGTAGAATCGCTTCATATACAAAAGTAGACATTAATTATAGAGTCAAGGTTTCAACTCAGTCGACTGTTACTCCGATAGCATTGGAGAAATTCGGGGGCCCTCACGACGCACTTGGCAGCCCAGCTCCTGTGAAATAATAATCCACTGTCTATTTGTCTCCTGATATGACGGAGTCATCTCATGTGAGTAAATAAGATTATAAATGTATGCTTTCAAAGTACATCATCACTACAAAAACACCTAAGCGAACCAACGATATCGGGAAATAAAATCTAATAGAAAGATGCCTGCCCTGTAGCCCTACTCGGAAAAGGTTTGTGTGAGAACAGGAGAATCGATTCTCCTACTTGTTAGGCACACGAGTCGACTCACCTTTTTCAAGAAGAATCTGCGTATTTGTAGTAAGGATATGTCTTATCAATATTGTATATGTAGAACTAAACTTCATAGAAGATAACCTATGCATGAAGTTACAGCACTCTCCTCTAGATATATCACCATATATGGGCAGCTTGTTAATTAATTGATTAATTAATTAATTGGACAACTTTTATTATTAAAATGACAGCAAAATATAGGCACAGTTCACCTGCAGAAACAGTGATGAACACAATGCTCAATGGTTATTTAAGTACTTCTTTGGTGCCTCATTGAGCACTGTTGGATTGAATGGGACTAGCAAACCTTCTCCAGTAGGATACCAGTCCAAAAGGGATCCTGTTTTCCATCATGAAAGGCGTGAAATATAATCCCTGTGATCTTTCACATGCTGCTTGAGCTGATCATGGATTTCTAGATATTCAAGACCTTTGTCATGTTCAAAAAATTGGTTGTGACTCAAATGGCCCATTTATCCCTGTGATAAAGATTAAATTGGATCAAGGTCTGTTGTAATGGGGGGGAAAAGCAATAAGATGCAAGATTTATAACCTGTATTCGTTTTCCAAGGGGTGAATCTCACAAAAATGGAGGTTTAATGATTACACTGGGTCATGTAGTAGACTATCTGTTTCCAAGATTAATGATTGACCTACAACTTGTGCACTTTGAGATATGTTAAGCAAATAAAATCACATAGATTAAAGATTTCCTCAAGCAAAGTTCAAGGCATCTGCAGTGCAGCCTGACTGCAACATCAATTGGCGTCTGCGCAAGTTTTTTTATTAGAGGTAATTTACAGGTAATTTATTATAATTACAATTATTAAAGGGATAGTTCACCCAAAAATGAACAATCTCACTGTGTTTGAATATGCATGCTTCCCTACTGTATAGTAGGAGAAAACCAGTAAGTGATACAAGTAGTTTGTCCGAATTCAAAGTATTCTTAAAACATGAAAAGCAAAAAGTACCCAGATGAACTACTATTTTCAGCGAGATTCTGAAGTGTGCATCCGATTAATGCTTTTGACACTGGTAGGCCATGTAACAGTGACAACATGGCCGATATAGTACGTCAGGATTTCATCCATACTACCCATATTCATACTTTTTTAATTGTTGCAAGATTAGATTAGATTAGATTCAACTTTATTGTCATTGTGCATAGTACAAGTACAGAGTCAATGAAATGCAGTTAGCATCTAACCAGAAGTGCAAATAGCAATTTTAAAAAGTCTTACTGGGCTGCAAACATTTGAATGGTAGTGTGGATATTTATTTATATTTACATTGTATATATGAAAGATGATAGACAAAAGTAATCAAAAATAAACACAATAGTAATAATTATAGGGTTCATTAAAGGATTTACCTTTAGGCTTACTTTTTAAGCATGTGCAAGATGGAATTTCAGAAAGGGGAAATGTTTGGTCAGTGTTTCACAGAGCTAAATCAAAGACTGTGTCCTTCTTTTTGGTCTGTCACTTGGTTTGTGCATCATAGATCCATACTGCCTAGCCTGTAACATGCCACGCACCTTTACTGATAAAAAACATGCAGATAAACCTGCATTCTTGGAACTACATGCAAAGAATTCATAGTTAAATGCCACTTTACTTACTAAGCCTATATGTTTAGAAGCAAGTTAGGCTTCATGCAGATAAATACCTCCTGCCCCCAAAGTTCAGACTCCCACGAAACAAAGCTCATGAAATTGAGTCACCTATTTACCAAGGGAGGTAAAGTTAATTTAAGCTTGTTTACATATACAGGTTAGTCTATGTGACAAATTAATTTGTGTATTTGACAGTAGTTGCAATAGGCCTTCTACAGACAGTGGTGTACTGGGAAAGAAGTCAAGAGAGGTGTGTCTGCATGTACATGAGAGGTTTGATCTGTACCTTGGCCAGGAACTTGCACCCTGCAGCTCTTAGTCCTTGAAGTTCAATTGATATCCGCCCTGTTTGGTCTCTGATAGGAGCTGCTTTGGGAACATCATGCTCTTTCACAACCCAGATACTGTATTATAATGAGAAGTAGAAATCCAGGAGCTCTGCCAACTTAAAACTGTTGATGGTTTTATCAGTGTCTGTCTCATGGGAAGGGCCAGCTGTGGCCATTTTGCTGTGTGCAGCATCAAAACACAAAACCCAGGCCTGCCTGATGAAGAATTGCTAATGGCCAATTCTATTGTGAATTTCAAGTGAGGCTGAAAGACTACACTACAGTCACACTACCCACACAGAGTTCAAGTTTGTCACACAAATTTGCCAACAGAAAGCGGCTTCGTTTGAAAGTGACCTTTATGTGAGTGGTACTTCATACATTGTTTCATTATTGATGATGGACTCTTGACATTTCCTCCCATTGAAACTTTGCTGAAAATTTGCTAATGCGACTGCACTTTTAGGAATTTAAATGAGCTTCTAATGAGTTTTCATTGTCAACATATTTGAGAATATTTAAGTTTCATTTAGCCTTTATGTTAATGTTACTTATTTGGATATGCGTAGGAAAACATTCCAGGTATGAATATTTGGTATCTGGGTGATAGTCAAGGTTTACATTTGGGATTTTGCATAGATTTGAAATATAGAGGCCTTTTATACTGAATGTAGTCCTTTGCAACATAATTAGAGACATAACTGTACAAAAGTGAAACCAGGTCAAAGGAAGAGAATTGAGAAATGGCAGTCTGGGTAGTTAAGTGCGAAGACTAGAGAAGACTTCATTTAACATTTAAGATATTCTATTACTGCCATAACAAAGAACCAAGACAAGAAACCACTGCAAAATTAAGATGGGTGTGTCTGTGTGTAATCCTATCCTCCGTGGGATGCTAGTCTACTTGTGGCCTGAATTGCCAGAGTTACACCTGTGGGATTACAGGAAGGCCTGAAATTCACATTGATCCAGGACCAGTATTTCTCAGTAACGGCAATGAATGACGACGTCACTGGTCTCAGCAAAGTTGGAGTGGGTAGCTGCACCATCACTTCCCACTGCATGCAAACAGACATACTGTTCATTAAAACACAGATGCTAGACTTTAGTTTACACCCTCGAGCATATCTTTATACAACAACAATAGAGCTCATTGAATAGTGTTCAATTCAATCAGTAGGATTACATGAGCAAGGTAGAATATGAAACAGGGAAAACACATGCTTTTATTACTTAGGCTAAGATGACAGATATGCTATATTTGTATATTAATATTGTGCACAGACATATTGTCAAAATGAGCATGAAAGTTTAATGCAGCTGAACTTTGTTAGAGTTGTCTGTCATTGTAAGGTTAGGCACTTTAGTAGAGGTGCATAGTATGCAGAGAATAAAATTATTTGTGTTGTCTACAAAAGTAACTTCCAACTGTTTAATTTAAAGATATAGTTCACCTAAAATTGAAAGTTTTGTCCTCTTTTACTCACCTTCATGTTGTTTCAAAACAGTAAGACTTTTTTCATGTTTGAATCATTTTTATCATGTCATGTAAAACTAATGCCTTTACAAATGTTATTTTACAATTTTACAGGTGCATCTCAATAAATTAGAATGTCGTGGAAAAGTTCATTTTTGGAGCAACAAGAAGGTGAGTAATTGATGTCAGAACTGTAATTTTTTTGGTGAACTATCCCTTTAATATTTTATTATGAAGTAACCATTTTTTAAAAGCTAGAATGCTGCACTGTAGTATCAGGATGGCCACCCCAGAAGGTTAATCTCTCTGTTAGATTTATTTGGCTAAATTAAATCCCCAAAATGATCCACACATATCTCTACACATAACTCATATCACTACGCATAAGGTCCTGTTTTCAACATTTTAAATGACTCTCCCCTGTTTGAGTACCTCAAATTTAGTCTCATGGGCTTGTGTTTTTGTGGATTATCTGTCAAGTTCAGTGAGGTCCAGTGCAGAAGGCCATGAACAACACTGGCATCATTGTTCTGTCTTATCTCCACCCACTCCCACACGTTGCTCCCCATTCAGTCCGAATCAGATGGAAACATTAATTGTGTTTTCTCAACATCTCATTCTATATTCTAAAAGAGTTATTCTCATATAGAATTCGGTCTCTGTCAGTGAGGAAGCTGAGAGCTTTGTTTTGGAGAGGAGCGCTGAGGAGGTGTGGTCATGCCATGAATGAGATTACAGTTCTGAGAAACTATGGCCTGAGAAGAGAAAGGGGAATACCACACCCTGAGTGTGTGATCACAGCTGGACTTCATCAGTGTTCTTTCACCTCAGTACGATGTGAAAATAGCACCCATGTAAGAGATGGAATATGGTTTCTCATAAACAGGAAAGCTTTTTAGAAGTAGAACTTGAATTGTTGCACGAAGACATCTGGCAAGGGCAAAACCTCTGATAATGCCTTAACCTCAACAATCTGTAACATTGGTTACCTGTGGATATAAAAGAGTGTTTTTATTCTTTCCGACTGGCATGCAGAAATATGACACCCTTGCTGAGGACCATTCTGACTGTCTGCATCCCAACCATCGTGAACACAGCAGCAATGCTTAAAATACCAAAGTGTGTCACTCGCAAATAAAGTCTATCAGTCTCAATCTAATTTTACAACCAGGATGTTCCAAAAGGCATACACGCACTCGGTGACATTGGTCTTCACAGCTGTAAACACAACAGTGTCACACTCTCCTTTTAAACACATTCACAAGCTGAAATCTGAGCCCTGTGGTCCTATTCCCCCAGCACCCCATGACCAATGGCATCGGTCGGGACCAGCCTGCTCAGCACGGGTCCAGAGTTTATGGCGTGGTGCAGAGCACAGGCACCAGCCACCAACAGGAAGTGATGGCACGCGAGTGGTCTGTCAGTCCCCTGAGGGATGAGATGAGGTACATCAGAGAGGTAAACTCAGAGACTTTTCTTTTGGTACCTAGCTAACTGTAATTTGCAACTAGAAGACTAGTTTGCATGTTATTCAGGAATGTACATACAAGCAGATAACTAAAAACCATCTTTCTTTTCTCATAGGTACGTGACTCTTTGGAAAAGGTCAGAGAGCGCATGTATGGCCAGTTTGGAGGGATGCAACAATCAGTGCAAAAATTTGGCAGTTGTGTTTGTATGAAACAAGAGAGAGCAAGTCCATGGAGTGATACAAGAGACATGAAAGCAGGGCCTAATTTCAGTTACCTGGTTGTTGCAGTTAACCAATCAGTTTTCCATAGAGCTGTGTGATATTATCTACCACAAAACCTTACCCTGTCAGGCTTCATAAAAATACATTTTACAGTGGTATGACAAGTTCTCAATGTGCTGACTGTGTTTGTCCCAGGCAGCCAACTCTCATAAGCGTTACCTTGAGTCAGAGGTGAGGACGAGAAGGGTAGCTATGGAGAGCTTTGACCACATGAACAGCTCCCTCATATCAGCAAACATTGATCTACAGGTACACAATCAATGTGGTCACTGCCAACTGACAAAGGCTTGTTCTGTTCAGAAAGACTCTTGACATTGTTTTTGTAGTCAACATGCTTGCTGTTAGTCAACATTTAAATGTCACAAGTGAAAGATGTAAAAAAAAACAGTTTTTTACTGCCAGCATACGCATGCTTTTAGAAAGTACCTGTATATTTGTCCATATGATTGATATCATGCTTATGTGCTGCTGCTGTTGATGATGGCTGTTTTAGAAATCATTGCTGGAAAGCTGTCAAAATCGTGTGGGGAACAGAGATGAGAAGAAAGCTGTGCGCAGCTCGTTGGAGAAGACAGAGGAAAAACTCAAGGAAACGGAAAGACAGCTAGCAGCAGCACAGGCCGCAAACCAGTCTCTCAAACATCAGGTGCACACACAAACACATATTACACAGCACTTTTATTATTATGCAGACCCGTCATGTTACAGACATCCTAATACCATGGTACTTTGTTCCTTTTTGTTAGTGAAACATTACTCTTTAAATACAGAGAAACATTTCATGGTAGATAACAGAGATCTAACACATATTGGCGATAAAGCATGGACACAATTTACAACAGGAATCTTGTGGTGACAGCAGTGTCCTGCGGTGTGACATGCTACACTTCATCTAAAAATGTTTTTTATGTTCTTATTTTTATTTTTTCAAATGATTGTATATAAAGTTTTTCAACCTCATATTAATTGAGAGATGACACTATTAAAAATAAAGGTTATTTATTGGTGTCTATGGTTCCATGAAGAACCTTTAATGCACAAAAAGGTTCTTTATAGTGAAAAAAAGGTTCTTTAGACAGAGGTGTAAAGAGTACCTAAAAACCATACTCGAGTAAAAGTACAGATACCTTACAGTGAAAATTACTCCACTACACGTTACAAGTCACCAATTCCAAAACAACTTGAGTAAAAGTCTTAGAGTATCTGATTTTAACAGTACTTAAGTATTTTACTTATACTAAATATAGGCTCAAAGACGCACTAGTCAAAGAGACATGCCAGTGATAAACTGTAACAGGTAGAGGCAAGGATCTATGTGCAGGTATTTCATGGGAAAACTAGAACAAACAATAAACCAAAAACCAAAGGGAACAAAGAACAGAATGACTGGCAAACGGCAAGGCACAGAGAGCATGAAACAAAAACAAGAAAGAGTTGATTTGTGAGGAGAGCAATCACGTTTATTTTCTAAAACCAAAATAAAACTGAACACCTCAAAATTACAAAACAAAACAAACAAACAAAAAACAATATCTTTCAAAAAGGTCTCTTCAGTATAATGGATAAATAAAATAATGTTAAGTAAAATTAAAAAGCCGAAGTCTTCTAGCAGTGGATGTGATGGTTTGGGCCTCATTGCCGGCTGCAGTCATGTCCTCATCTCATACATAAAACACCTCTGATTCACAAATACTTGCTAAGGAACTCGCATTCACATAAAGTAGCCTTGTTGACAAGTTTGGGTGAGTAAGGGCAAAACGCAGTAATTGCAGTGACCTGTAGCAGGCATTATCACGTCTTTTGTAGCAGAAATAAACTGCCGCAGAAAAAGCTAGGTCCATGCAAAATGTCATTTGTAACTGCAACACTCAGTTCAAATGTAGTGGAGTAAAGAGTACAGATACTCATTCAGAAATGTAGTGGAGTAAAGAGTAAAAGTTGCTAATATCTTTGATACTCAGTACAACTACAAAGTACCCGAAAAGATACGCAAGTACAGTAACTAAGTACATTTACTCCGATACTTTACACCTCTGTCTTTAGACTACTATAATGTTCTTCACACTAAGAAAAAAATGGGTTCACTGAAAGGGTCTTTGAGGAATCCAGCCTTGCTGTGAAAACCTTATTTTTTTGAAACCTTTATTTTTAAGCGTGTACTGTACATGGAATATTTGTGTTTAAAAGTTAAAAATGTCAATTGTTTTACATAAATAGCATGGTTATTAACATGTGACAACTAAGTAGCTTTTTGTATGTAGGTGGAGACTTCTCAGGAGGCCAAGACTCAAGCTTTGAAAGAGTTGAGTGCTCAGCTACAGAGGGAATATGAGGAACAGCTGCAAGAACAGCAGAGGAAGTACAGAGAGGAGATAGAGGCTCTGCAGGTACAGATATAACCAAACAAACAGACACTCACAATGCCTTACTGTCCAACTAGTTCAACGTGAGCTGCATGCTAATGTGACAAATGCATTCGCTTTAATGTGTGTGACCTTTGAAAGATTGTAATACCTACAGACACACTGTAAAAAGACTACATTTGTATTATATTTCACAAGCAGGGCGTAAGGATTCCAATCTCATAACAGGAAACATCTGTAGTTATTCACCAGGGAAGCGAGAAAAATTTAGAATTGTTTTTTTATATAAGTAAGGGTGCCACCTAGTGGTAAAAGTGAAGATTTCAGAGAGAATGATGATGAAGACTGATGAACAGAGGCAAATAAATGACTGTAGTTCTGACCTTTATGTCCGCAGGCACAGCTTGATGACTACATGAGGAGGCTTGAGGAGGCGGAGAGGAATGCTCAGATAGCTGAGGCAAAGATTGCTGAAAGAGATCAAAGAATTACTGAGGTGGAGAGGCTACTAAACTGTATGGCTCAGGTAAATAATATCAGTTGGCTCAGCCTTTACCTGTTACCCCTGAAAAAAAAACTTTTTATACAGCACATCTCTCTTTATAACAGGAGAAGGGTGACCTGATAAAAAAGCTTTGTGAATGTGAACAACGCTTACATGGTTTGGACCAAACTGACCATGCAGACAAAGCTATGGCCAAACAGTAAGACATTTAATGTATACCTAAACTATACTAAGTTTGTGTCTGAAACCAGTGGCATATTTCCTTAATTCAGGATGGTTTCCGTGGACAGTTTAAGATCTATAATAACCAGATACCATAACTGTAATAAGTATAAGTAGGGCAAAGAAATATAATGCATGAATTTCTGCGATTCATATTTGCTTTTTAATGCGTTAAAATAAACTCAAATAACCAGAATTGATTTCCCCCTATTTTTTGAAGAAGCTATGTTACTTGAGCATGTCTTACATGTTCCTTACATCCTTGATACCTGATTGACAGAGACTAAAACATCACCAAACACACTGTATGAAAAGCATGGCTAAATGTCACATTTATTATAATGGGTTTGCGTGAATATTGTTTAAGGTTCACTTAAATTAAAAGTAGTTATAATATTTTCAATGTTATGTAATTGTTAATAATTGATCAATAAGAACTAGTCTAATAATTTGTAGTTTAGCCCTGGCCTTCAGTTATACTGTAATGGTGAATGGCTATAATTACTGGTTTTATTCCCAGAAAAAAATGAATCAGTACTGGCATCAGTGATACTGGCCTTCATTTATAGTATTTAGTGTAAAAAATATTGTTTTAAAATACTGTCTTTATGTTGTTTCTACATTCATTTGGAGATTCAGTGTGAAAATACATTTAGGTTTATACATTTTTATGTTATCACGATTAATTGCAGAAATCTTATTTTTAGGTTTGTTTGTTTGGGGGGGGTTCTCTTAAAAATGTTTTCATTTAGTCTCCTCAGAAAAAAAAATACCAATAATACTCTTGGCCTATAATACTGAACAATACCCAATAATACTGGGTTGTATTTTAGTATTTTATTGCGTATGTTATATCACTCCTAAGCAACATGTTCTTTCTCAGGTCTGAGCAGCTGAAAGAAGAAGCAGCAGAACTGAGAGAGCGAATAAAGCATCTCAACGACATGGTGTTCTCTCAACAGAGGAAGGTCAAGGCCATGATAGAGGAGGTGAGGATTTACAGATAGACTGTTCGTTCTGTTAATAAAGAGTATACTATGCACACAAAATGAATCCAAAACAAACATATGCTTTCAATAAATCATGACACCATTATTGTAATTCAATCTTTTTAATTATAAAACAAACAAACAATTCTGCAGGTTGAAACATTGAAAGCAAAAGTTGCACAGAAGGATATGTTCATTTCTGAGCTGCTGGACAGGATTGCCATAGTGGAATGTGAGGTAAGAGCAACTGTTTCCATGTAACAAGATGTGATTTTTACATGCCCCTCGTCTTTACCAATCTAGAAAGGCACAGCTTGGTTGGAATAAGCATCCTGAATGTGACTATTCTTGAATTCATTGCTGTTCTGTCAGCTGGGCTCTTTTGAGTCCCTTTGGTTGTCATTCAGATTTCTCACACATCTAAACTGAATCAGTCTTTGTCCAGTGTCCTCTTTATGTCTGTGAAATTAATTCTCTACTTCATTTCCCATGCCTATGGTCTGACTCTGTCCTTTGCTTTGCTTCTTTTCCTAGAATAATGAGTTAGGAGACAAGTTGAAGTATTTTATGTCTATACAGAGAGCATCTGAGACTAAAGTAGCCACCCGGGACATTGGAGTTGGCTGTGACCTCCCCATTAGGTAATGAGCACAAGATCACCTTGCCATAAGAAATTTAAAACTGCTTTCAAGGCCATACCTTTACTCACATGCTCTCCCTGTGTGCATAGATCTGAGGAGCTGCCGGATATCACTCCTGTCCAACCCAGCCCCATCTCATCAGCCCCAAGATCCTCTAGCAGACTGAACTATAGTCTTCTTAAATACACTCCTGGTCAGTACAGCACAATGCTGAGCTCCAGTGTAGTACATACACAAGAAACTGCAACCAGTCCCACACAAACGGCACCTCTGTCTTCAAGTTATGTTCAGACCAGCCATGAAGACGGGGACTCCAAATCTCCAACAGGCTCAGAACTGTCCTCTACCACCAGTCCTAGAGCGAGAACCAGCCCGTCACAGATCTACACTCCTTTTATGAAGCTGATGGAGATGAGCTCTAAAATGAACATTGACTGAATAAAGTTTTACTAAAATGGCAGTGGCAGAAGCTTATGGGACATGAAGTATTGTTGTTGTTTTTTACTGTTTATGTAACATTACAGTACAGTATATATAAATAACCAACTGATCTGTGAAGAACTTATTTTGGTAGTATATATTGATGCGCTCTATTTTGCTTTGTTTACCAAAAAACTAGTGATTTTATGTGACAGCTTTCTATATTTTACAATTATCTATTTATATTTCCATTTTCTGAGACCATATTTAGATTATTTTCTAAAGTGTATTACGCCAAATATTATTTTGTTATATAAAAAAACTCAATAATAGGCTCTATATATGAGGGGGTTTTTTTAAAGAAAGGGAATGATGGTAGCTATCATTTGTGATCAAAGCTCAGTACTTGTGTTTTTTTTTGCTTCAATGTGTATTGTATTTAAATGTTTTTTTTTTCATTTGTACTAAGAGAGTTGTAGACATTAGTGGTCTCACTCTCTGTTGCACTTTTTCCCCTGGGGTTACTGATGCAAAGACTCCAATTCACCTGATTTTGACGACTCGAAACATTCAGTATGCCAGTTTAAAAAAAGCATTGGTTATAGAGCCCCATTGTTGTAGACCAGAGTGCATTACCCATGCACAGACTGTTGAGAGGAAGCAGGCCCCTGTGATTGTTCGAAGTGTTAATGTGTTAATGCACTTTTCTGAAGACTCACTTCAGTTGCCAAAATCACATCATCTTTTATGATGACTGCGGATGAAGGTTTATAGACTACATTTGGTATTAATATTTTTCACTCACTGAGCACTATATTTACACATTACTGGGTATATTGTTCAATAAATAAAATGTCCAAGCCTACAACTTGGTGGATTTGGGATTTGTAAAATCTTTATATTGGTTAGCTAGGCATGTGCATCCAAATGATCTCTAGTTGTCTCGGACTTTACTGAGTGGAAAATGAAAAATAAAAAAAGTTTTAAGGCGTAGTAAAATAGTCAATGCTGGTGCAGATTTCATGGTGTTGTAGGCAGATTCTGTTCCGTGTCGAGAAACCAAACTGAATAATGGAGCTCTCTATGGGAGAACATGCTTCATTGCAGCTGCAGCAGCAGGTGGGGAGACATATGGAGTGGGTGCTGCTGAATGTGCATGAAACATTGTCACTGCTAAGGAAAGGAGATATATCCATCTGCAGACCCGCAGCACCAGAACGAAACACCCATCACACGAATGTCATTTTGTGTTAAATGATTAAAATAATTGAAAAAAATCTCATTACTTTAATGTAAAATGTATTTTTGTAAGATCCTGGGACATACGCTTATTATTTATTATTCTTAGTTCTGAATCGGTCAATATTATTTTTAAAAAATCGGTTGTGTTTATCACACTGCAAGAGTCCGCACGCGCCGCTCCCGTTGATTGTTGTCGTCATGACAACCTAACATTACGGAAGAACTCCACCAGAGCGTCATCGGTGAGCGGTTTTGTTTATGATATTGTTATTACTCATTCAGATCACTGTTGTGTTACAGTAAGAGTATATATTAAGTATTCACAAAAATATCTCAATGACCACCTAGATAATCAGATTTCAGAATCAGAATGAGCGTCATTGCCAGGTATGATTTTGTTTTCATGACAGAAGCTCCACAGTGCAACAGAATGACAGCGACAGAACAAAAACACCGATAATAAAAGAAGAATAAAAAAATAAAAAATAGAACAAGTAAATAAGGAATAACAATATATAAATTGACAATTGTATGTGCAGGTATATTACAATAGACAGTTTTGTATGTATCGTTACAGGTCAGTCATTCTTGAGAAGTGGGACAAAATTGAAAAAATAAAACCTTGTACTCAGACAAATGAAACTACATTTATGTATCTTATATGTACTAAGCTACTGAGCTATGCTTTGATACAGCCTCCCAATTTTGCTCTTTTTTAACAAAATTTGCTTTTTTTTTTAGCTTGGACTGTTGACAGTTTTGTATGTAAAGTTACAGGTATATTATGTGCAAATTTGAGATGTAGACTAAGTATGCGTGTTAGATAAATAAGTGTATGAGTGTATAAATAGTGTTGTGTGTTCCACGATTATTGTTAAGTGTTCATGAGATGGATGGCCTGAGGGAAGAAACTGTTCAACTGTCTGGCCGTTCTGGTGCTCAGTGCTCTGTAGCGTCGACCAGACGGCAACAGCTCAAAGAGGGAGTGTGCTGGATGTGAGGGGTCCAGAGTGATTTTGCTCACTCTGGATGTGTACAGTTCTTGAAGAGAAGGGAGGGTTGTACCAATGATTCGCTCAGCAGTCCGGAGGTGTAGAGGGAGAAGAGCAGTGGAGAGAGAACACAACCAAGAGGAGCTCCAGTGTTGCTCCAGGAGCTCCATACGGGTGCTGGAAATGAGTTTTTCCAGCCTCACTAGCTGCTGCCTATCTGTCAGGAAGCTGTTGATCCACTGACAGACGGAGGTGGGCACGGAGAGCTGAGTTAGTTTGGGCAGGTCCACAAGTCCACAAACAGGATCCTCGCATAAGTCCCTGGTCTGTCTAGATGTTGCAGAACATAATGCAGTCCCATGTTGACTGCATCGTCCACAGACCACAGATTTCAACCTTTTTATTAGCTCTTTTTATGGAGGTCAAGAGGTCTGACATATGAGAAATTAACAAAACTAAAACAAAAATGTACTTGCTGCTAGAACAAATTTGTATTTATTTATTTGTTGGTATTGTGAATTTACTCTTACAGTAGAAATGTGGAGGTGCCATGGTGTATCACTTTCCATGGCATTGTTTGATTACACCATTTTTGTTTATCTAATACTAACTGGAAGGTAAGTTAATTCCAAGAAGGTAATTCCAATAGTATCATGGTATTATGGTACATAATATTACTTTAGTACCATATGAAAAACACCATGTTTTTCTCAGGTCCGTTTTGTATATGCTGACATATTTATATTTAGGTATCTGTGTGTGTATAAATATGGTCTGCCAAAAATGAATTCTGCCATTCATTTTCAATATCTTTTTTTTCCCCTCCAGAAATAACACAAGATGGCTGAGAATGTCAGAAGAGGTTTGGAGATCCCAGAGCCATCAGATTACAGCAGCTGTGAAGACGATGATGTGACTTATTTCACAGATCTGCAGCAGCCTGATAGTAATCTACCTGAGTCTGCAAGAGTAGTCAATAAGCTGTTAAATAACCTTGTTGAAAGTGTATGGGAAGTTATATCAGAGCAGGAAAAGATCAAGAGGGATGAAGAAGCAGCAAGACAAATTCCTGTGCTGAATGCTTCTAAAGAAATGAAGGTATGTTTAACATGCACATTCAAATGGCCTCATCATATTGCTTTGTGCTTTGGAGGCATTTGTCCAAAATTTTCATTTTACATATGATTACTTTGTTGCTTGGTTCTTAGCTTCCAGGCAGAACTAATAGTATTGTGTGCTCTGATGATGGACTTTACCTGTTTCTGGGTCACACTCATGGTCTGTCAGTCATCAGTACATCCACTCTCACCTGTGTAAGAACGTGGCAGGATGAAAGAGTGGAGCTTACCAGCATCTCTTGTACCTCTCTGGGAAATGCCATACACCTCTTATGCACAGTGGATGACATGGGTAATTTTCTGAGAGTGGGGGATATTTTTAGACAATTTACATGAAAAACTCCCTATTTTATATTTTCTGTATTTATTTATACATATTTTTATACATTATTTTCTCCTAAGGTATTGCACGGCTTTTTTTGCATCACATGGAGAATGTTTATTTAACAAAAGTCATCAATGAAATTGTAAGTTCATAATACCATTTTAAGAGCTTTTTTGTGTGTGTGTGTGTGTGTGTGTGTGTGTGTGTGTGTGTGTGTGTGTGTGTGTGAGTGTGTTGTTGGTTTTCTATTGGTAATAGACATATGTTACATTTCTCACAGGAAGATATAAACCAAAGAAACATCTGTGCAAAATTTGAAGTGTCTAGAAGTGGGGACTTTGGCGCTGCAGTCATGACATGTAAATTTCCTATTAAAATACGGAAATGTAATATAAAACTAAAAATACATTTAACTGTGAGTACTACTGATTCATTAATGCTGTTGTGGTATATCGTCAATGAAGCCAGTGGCTCTGTTTGGCTGGACGTCTATCGCTTCCCACAAGATGTGTGGCTCAAAGAGCTGGAAACCAAACAGGTAACTGTTATAGTTACATTGGAAAGTTACCTGGAAAACCATATATTCTTGTTTGCTGTATTTATGCTTTAAACAAATCTTAACATGGTGCATTGTTGATGTCACTTCAAAATTCCCAATTTCCTTGGAGGCACATTTTAAACTGTTATGTATTTTTTCAGAATAAAATATGTGTAAGAACGTGGCAGGATGAAAGAGGGGAGCTTACCAGCATCTCTTGTACCTCTCTGGGAAATGCCATACACCTCTTATGCACAGTGGATGACATGGGTAATTTTCTGAGAGTGGGGGATATTTTTAGACAATTTACATGAAAAACTCCCTATTTTATATTTTCTGTATTTATTTATACATATTTTTATACATTATTTTCTCCTAAGGTATTGCACGGCTTTTTTTGCATCACATGGAGAATGTTTATTTAATAAAAGTCATCAATGAAATTGTAAGTTCATAATACCATTTTAAGAGCTTTTTTGTGTGTGTGTGTGTGAGTGTGTTGTTGGTTTTCGATTGGTAATAGACATGTGTTACATTTCTCACAGGAAGATATAAACCAAAGAAACATCTGTGCAAAATTTGAAGTGTCTAGAAGTGGGGACTTTGGCGCTGCAGTCATGACATGTAAATTTCCTATTAAAATACGGAAATGTAATATAAAACTAAAAATACATTTAACTGTGAGTACTACTGATTCATTAATGCTGTTGTGGTATATCGTCAATGAAGCCAGTGGCTCTGTTTGGCTGGACGTCTATCGCTTCCCACAAGATGTGTGGCTCAAAGAGCTGGAAACCAAACAG